TAGCCTTACCCATGGAGTTAGCCAATGCTCATAATGTTTTTCATGTTTCCCAACTCCGAAAGTATGTTCATGACCCTACCCATGTTATCCAACCCGAAACTATTGAGCTAGATGAGACCTTAACTTTCGAAGAACGCCCTATGAAAATTCTCGACACCAAAATGAGAAGTACTTGAAATAAGGTTGTAAAGTTAGTTAAAGTGCTATAGTCTAATCAGAATTCTAAATTGAAGAAGCAACTTGGGAAGCTGAACATGACATGAAAAAGCGTTACCCGGAACTTTTTGAGTAGGTATGCTAAGTTTCAAGGTCGAAACTCTTAAAGGGGTAGAATGTAATACTAACTTAGCCTTTGTCATCATATGATCCCTTTTGAGAACTAACTTTAAAGTTCGTGGACGAACTTTCGTTTTAGGGGGAGTAGATGTAATACCCCAAATTTTTGAGTATATTTAGTCAACGCTTTTGTTAGTATAAACTTTTAAATTTATAATTTATTTTTTTCAAATATATATTAATTTTTTTCTATTTTCGGATTTAAAAAAAATGATTTTCGATAACTTTAGAATCAGATTTGAAAACTGATAAAATAATAAATTTGAAGCTTATCTTTTCAACAGGATTTTGCAACAAACTCAATTTGAATTGAGTCTTATCTTAATATTATAGAAAATTCAACCTAAGATTTCTAATATATAATTCCTCCGTTACGCATTATGTGCAACATTTTCCATTTTGGGATGTTACAAGTTATGTGCAAAAAAAAAAAGTTTCCTTATATAGTAAATTTTTTTGAGTAAATTTACTAAAAAACCCTTACTTCAATCCAATTAACACATTAACTACATGTTATTAACTTAATAACCTAACTTGATTAACCCTCAATAATAACACTAACACTCAATCTCTCTCCTCCCTCACAACCACACCACCATATTTTCTCTCTCAAGCCACCCTCACCTCCACTCTCTTTTCTCTAGCAACCACCACTCCACCACCACCTTATTTTCTCTCTCCTCTCTTTCAAGCCACCCTCACCACCAATCTTCTCTCTCTTCTTTCACAACCACCACACCATCGCCACCATAAGATTGGGTCGCCACCACTTCCTCCTCTATAAAAGTCGTTGCCGCTACTTCCTCATCCATTAGAGCTTAAAGTTGAGGTTTTTATGGTAAAATATAACCATGAAAACTCTAGATCTAGAGTTTTCATGGTCAAATTTTACCAAATAAACCCCAAATTAGCGATGAGGAGGTATTACTTTCCAAATTAAGCTTTTTTTCTTCATATTTTAGGGTGGTTGGTGGTGATATCGAGGAGAGGGGAGGGCGGTGGGTGGTTGTGTCTGGTCGGTTTTGGTGGTTGTGGGTTTGTGGGTGGTTGTGTTTGGTCGGTTTTGGGTCTGTGGGTGGTTGTGTCTGGTCGGTTTTGGTGGTTTCGAGTATGTGGGTGGTTGTGTCTGGGCGGTTTTGGGTGGTTGTGGGTCTGGGCGGTTTTAGGTGGTTGTGGGTCTGGTGGTGGTGTACTGGTGTTGGTGTTCTTTTATGACTTTAATTATTTGATCTTTCCTTAATTAATCCCCCTTAAAAGTTTCTTCTTAGGAAACGTGCAACCCATTTTGTTGCAAATAATACGTAACGGAGGAAGTATGTATATATATATATATACACATATATATATCCCGAATGCTAATACAATACCCATACTTTTAATTTTTCCCAAGTCGTCATCCCCAACCGATCTTTCGTCGGTAAGCCATGAGTTTTCTTACTGTGATTCTCTTGTATTGGATTGAGCTTGGCAAATCTGAAATTCTGATTAAACCTTTTCTTGATTTCTTGTTCTACCTAATAATTTCTTCAATCTTCTTGGTCCTCGTTGAACATCTTAAAATTTACAAGTTGAAAGTGTTTTTAAAGAAGATGGATTGTTTTTTCCTTCTCTGCCAAAGAAGAAAGCTTTGAGGTGTTTTGGGGTTTTGTGTGTGGGAATTGCAGGCCAATTAAGGATGGCAAAGTTTGTTGTGGACCACTTATTTTATACTCCACTTCTAAATTATTGGTCATAGTTGGTTTATTAATAAAAATTATTCCTATTTCCCAAACTTAATTATCAATACTACAACAAGTTGCTCAATTACGCACTACTAGTGCACTACTACTAACTTCGTATCATCTAAATTATTAGTCATACTGACTTAGTCTTATTATCTATTATTGTAGACGGAGGCTACTAAGTGAACGTTACGAAGGTTAATTACCTTGAGTTTTTACGCACGATCAAGGTAATTTTCAATGTTCATCATCTTTAGAATCCCGATAGGAAATTGTATTGAAATATTGTGTGCCAACTATGTGCTTAATTATGTAATTATATGTGATGAGTGTGATGTCGTATGATATTATGGAATCATATTATATATATATTAGTTTTCTATTTTGTGTACTAGTATATGTACTTTCAAAAAATTTGATTATTATTTGATATCGTATGAGTTTCTTTTAAAAATAAATAAGATCTTGGGTATTGGATGATTGATTATATGTGATTGATGGTCTATATGTCATGTAAGATGACTATGGTCTAATAATACTGAAGTTGAAGTATTGTTACTTGAAATTAAATTGATTTGTGCAATAATTGTGTACAGTGTAATTGGATGATTTAATCTAATAAAATGTACAGTGAAATTTAATTTAAGAAGGGAAATGAAACCCGAAAGGGTGAAGAATAGGTTGCCCACTAGTAGTTATGGTTGCTACTAGTTGGTTTAAATTATTGTATATTGTTGTTAGTCTTCCTCCTAATCATTGGGTATTAGTGAGGGGTGTGCACACTAGGGACATTCTGGTTATTTCATGACCATTTGGGGTAACGCGCGACCCTTTGTAAAGTTTGGTGGTGACAGGGACTAGTCCCGGCTTACTGACGTTCTCTTTCCCTTTTTTAAATAAGGTAGTAATATGTTATGTGACTATTTGAACTTGGTTGAGTATTAAAATATTTATGGGACTATATTATGTATATAATGTTTTGAACTAAAATTATTTATTTTACGGGATGGAGTTGGAATTACTCAGTTTATTTGATTTTGGGAGTTTTCTCTCTTTTCTTGTATTCTGATTTATTTTGCAAGTTGGTAAGAAGGTACTCGGTTACGTGTGAGGAGACGTTAGAATAATCACGTAGCTAAGACAACTTAGTTTATTTCCGAATTTAATTAATTCCTTTCAACTATTGGTTTCAAAATAATTGCATTTTTGATGTAATGACTATTTATTTTGCCGCCAATTAGACCACTTAGATTATTTAATTATTATTTCAATTTGCTTTGCATTTATTTTCTACGGAAAATAAGTGTATCAGTAACACTCCCGGAGTTCGATGGTTGGGTTTTTGAATGTTAAAGGTTACTCTTATTGTTTTTAAAAGACTCGAATTTTGGGGGTGTTACACTTCATCTAGTATTTAATAATTCAAAGTATTAAAAAATAATATTTAATAATATTGTTAATTAATAATTTCTAATAATTATAACAATTATTTCAAAATAAATAATAATAATAATAATAATAATAACAATTTCTTTTTATAAACATTTGATATTAGAATCACAATGTATATAAATATTTAATGCGGGTATAGATTGTTAGTTGATTGAGTTGAATTATTTTTCAAATCTTTCCATACAATTTATGAATTAAAAAAAAGAGGTTGTTTTCATGTAGTATATTTTTATTTTGAGGGTTAAAAATATATGATTAAGACATATTTATAAGTAAAATCATTATTACTCATTAAATCATTTTATTTTAAATTTTTGTAAAATGAATATAAGTAAATTGTTGTCTTTTATCTTTCTAATATTAACATATGTTAAATATGGTATACATTTATTTATGTTTTCACTCACCTAAATCAATGATATATGCACATAATAATAATAATAATAATAATAATAATAATAATAATAATAATAATAATAATAATAATAATAATAATTAACAATCAGACTGTGGACAATGACCTTATGAGGAACCTTAATGAGATCGCTGCCCCCAGACTCATGAAAAAATTGGCAGATATATTTTTCACGAAGGTCACTTCATCTGCGGATTTCACCTTCTCCCTATCTGCGCGTCAGGTTGCCTTATAGAAGTCCCAACAGAGGGATCACTCTTCAGCCTGGTTGCGGACGGTCCTGATATCAGATTTGGGTCAGACTATGAATGATAAGACTTACCGTAGTGTTCTTTGCTACAGGTTGGATGTTCCTTTGTTCTCCATTTCATCACCGTGGGTTTTTGATGGGGATCATGCAGTGCCTTGTGCTGGGATGGTGGGTATTAAACATCGGCACAATGTTACCCTTGTTGATATTTGTTTTCGGTCTGGGATTTCTGCTCGAAAGGAGGTTAACGTTGGGTTGACTGGAGGGAACGACGGAGCTCTTCGACCAGCAGATGTGTTGCTTTATTCCTGGGATAGAGGCCTTGATGTATGTGTTGACTTGAAGGGGTCTTCACCTTTGACACAATCGGGCTTGTCTGACTTCGTTCCTGGTCGTGTTGTGTCTGCGGCGGCTTAGTGGAAGGGCTATTGACTATGGTTTTCTTCCTTTCTCCTTTTCTTCGTTGGGGGAATTAGAGAAGGATGATGTTGCGTTGTTGAAGCAAGTTCAGGTGTTCGCTAAGACTCAGGATATTGGTGCTCGTGCATTTGCTCACATCTTCAGCAGGATCGAGTTTGCTATAGGTAGGGGGTGGGGTCCAGATTGTATCTCGGCTCCCCACCAATTTCTCGTAATTTGATTGAAATTGTAAGTTTTTTTATAATAATAATAATAATAATAATAATAACATTAATAATAGTTTTAATAATAATGTTGAAATTTGCTCCCTCTGTTATCTTGAAATCTGCTCCGCTCTGTTCTATCTAGATGCTCAAAAGAATAGCGCCTATATATACTATACCATGTTTTTAATTTTGTTGAGCGAATTTAGAGGAAACAGATTAGTGCAAATTCAAACGCTGTCTCTGTCCAGGTGCTCTACGCCTCCACCCTTTTCTCCCCTATTCCCTTCTCGATTTTCTTTTCGAGAATTCTTGTATTTCTGGATTTGCATAAACCCTAGGCAACAAATTCGAAAACTTCACTGCCAAATTGACAGTTTAATTTCTTCAAAAAGAATCAGTGTAGAATTTGCGATTATTGTTATGTACTAATTGAGCAGCTTTTTCTAGGTAACCTTTTCATATTGCTTTAATCGACTGCTATATTCCTAGTGCTGATTTCATCCCAATTTTGTAAGCTTTGAATTTTGATGTTTATATGTTGATAATTTTGATTGTATGTATAGTTTGGGCTTAATTTTTAACCTTAATTTGGTGCAACACTTGGTATCAATTCTTGTGTGATATAATAATTTTTTTTTTTTGGAAAATAAAATTGTTTGATTGCTTACCAAAAGATGTTTGGTTTTAATTATGATTACTGTAATTTCAATAATTTGCCAAATGGAACTTAAAAGACTGAATATCAATGAATTGCCTAATATGGTATGAACATGGGCGCAGGAATGGAATTTGCTACCTAAATAAATTAGTCTAACAGCGTATCATTAACATGTACCCATCGTCCCATTCGTATGTTTCGGATTGCAGTTGGCTGGACATTAATTGATGATTTGTAGCTTTACACAGATGATGTTTTAAATTTAGTATGTTTTATTTGGAAATGCTGCAGGCTAGATCAGTATCACGTCCGTGCTTAACTAGCGAGGTGGGAGGTATCAAGAGAGGCAGTACTGAATTAAAGGTATCATCTTAATACATTGCAATCCTGTGTTGGCATTTGTTCACTACTTATTGGGGATAGTTAAATCTTAAAAGTTTAAACCTGGAGTTTTATTTGGTGTTTTTAACTATAATGGTAATTTCTGTCAATATTGGGTAATGAGGTGGCGGCACTAAATTTTGGTGAATTTTTGTGCAGCTCTACTGTTGTTTTGAGCAGCTAATGTGAATTTAGGGGGAATTCTTTGATTTGATGATTGTAATTATATGGGTTCAGCAGTGCTAAATTATCTGCTAAATCTGTGGCCTTTTTCGGGCCTTAGAGTTGATGAAGTGACATTATCTGATTGTTTGGTTAGGAGACTTTCACTTCCTCAACACACCCAGCAATTTGTTTATGCTATTAGTGAGCCAGAAAATGAGGCCATTGTATATATTCTTGCTGCACAAAATTTGTCTGAAAGATCAGCTAGGGATGCTGAGTATTTAATAAGGGAAGTACGACCTGATGCAGTTGTGGCCTTAGTTGGTCATAATACATTGTCTGAAATTCATGATCATGAATTGGTTGACGGTATGGATGATCTCGTTCCAACTTCAGTTTTTAGAGTTTTGATGAGGTGTTTTATGGACTAAACAAACAAAGACAATTATGAAAATCTTGCTGGAAACTTGGTTCTGAAAGAGATATTCGGTGTTGGCTTCTATGGGCACTTCTTTGTTGCAAAAAGATTGGCAGAGGAAATTGGTTCTTCATTCTCGGTCATTGAGTCTCCTTTGATAAAGACAGCTAGTGCTGACATTGATCCTTCTTCTGAGACTAGTAAATCCAGTAACATGCTTCAAACTTTGGCATTGCAGCCAGCTGGCTTGATTCCTCAAGATTGGGGTTCATTAGTTGGTATTTCCCGAGGACTTATCTATAACAGTGATGTCCAATCGCAGATGATCACAATGGTTTGTCCATTCTTATCCCAATCATTGACGAACTCGAGTATTTTTGGCTCTCCTGAGGATGAAGGGTCATGTATAATGGAGCCCAGGTGCAATTATTCCCCCCCACCATTTGCCCAAACAGTTTATCCCTTACTCTTGGATCTTCATAATATTTTTGCTGACATTCCATCTATGGGTCGTGCTCTGGCATATGCACAGAAAATGTTTCTTGATGTGGGTAAAGGAGAGGGCATTGATGCTGATCTATTGTCTGAAGTTTATACCTTCAGAATTGCAGTTGAGGGGCTGAGGATTGCTCTGAATAACGCTGGTAGACTCTCACTCCATAAACTAGGTAAATGTATGCCAAGCAAGATTGATTTTAATGAGTTATCGATTGAGGATAAAACCCATTGTCTTCTTGCGCAAACCCTACGCAGTCAGGCAAAGAAGTCTAAGACAGTAGTAGCAGTAGTGGATGCTAGTAGCTTAACTGGTCTTCGTAAGTTTTGGAACACTCCAATTCCTGAAGAAGTTAAGGATATGGTTGAAGAACTTATTGTATGCCAAGACATAGATGCAGAAAGCATCAATGATAAAAGGAAACGTCTGTTGTCTGGTAAACCTGTAGTGGCAGTTGCTTCTGGTGCTACTGCGGTTCTGGGGGCATCTTCCCTTTCTAAAGCTCTCCCTGTGTCATCTATTTTAAAAGTTGTTATGGTTAATGTTCCAGCATCTTTAAAACTTTTCCTTACACAAACACATAAAGCAACTTTATTTGCACTAACCAAGATTCTTGGCCCATCAAAAATTGTGGGTCCGGGCTTCGCAACTTCTGGGGCTAAAGCATCTTCTGCACTTAAGGCAGCTGCTTCTGCGGAGAAAATTCGAGTCATTACTCATAGTGTTATAGCTTCTGCTGAAAAGACTAGCTTCTCAGCTATGAGAACTACGTTCTATGAGATAATGAGGAAACGACGGGTTCAACCGATTGGTAGCAGGCCATGGGCTACCTTTGGCTTTAGTGTAATGAGCTGTGCGGGATTGCTTGTTTATGGTGATGGAATTGAATGTGCTGCTGAATCTTTCCCTGCAGCGCCTTCCATCGCCAGCTTGGGCCATGGTATCCAAAATCTGCAGCAAGTGTCACAATCCATTGGAAACTCGTGTGGAAAGAAGATTCAGAAAGCTATAGAGTCGCTGATGTACAGGTTTAAAAATGTGCGGATCCAGTAAAGTGAGAATCTATGACTTCCTTTTTATATTATCCTAGCTGTTATTGGTATTGAATTCATTGATGATACGTCATCCCATTGTTTGGTCAGGAGTACATACATAATCCAACGAAGGGTGGTGGTTTGTATTGATGACTGTGGTATTACTCCCTCCGTTCATAATGTTAGTCCTATCCAGAATATTTTGAGTATCAAAAATTAGAGGAAATCTTCTAAATTTCTCTCTCTATATATAAGAACAAACATAATAAAATGACATCTAGTTTTATTCGTCTCGATGAGTACATTAATTAATAGTGACATCATTTTTTGTGGTCTCTATTGAAAATGATGTCATTAATTTCTTGTTAAGACTCAGTAAGACTTGTCCAAATCTATCACTTTAGCCCTAAGAAGTCTTAAGTTAAGTCTTGGAATTTCAAGCCTTAACTTGAGACTTGCTTGAGATTTAAGATGAAAAATGGAGGAAGTCTTAAACATAAGTCTTAAGGCTCAATATGATGATGTCACCCCATGTTAGACTTGGAGCTAAACTTGCTCTTATATTAAGCTCATAACCCATTTAATTACACTCCTAACAATCTTTCAATCCCATTTTAAGTGAGCTAAATCATTTGAGACTCACTTTCTTAAATAACGTTAAAAATATATGTTTCGAAGTATTGAAAAACGAAGGAAGTATTAATGTAGGATTGTAGAGAGAGCTATAAGGGCATGGTGTCGACAAGATTTGATCCTAGGTTCTTGGTATCATCCGCCAAGACTTTAACCAAGTTAGTTAGCATTTATGGGTTTCATAGATGAGCAACTCCAGTGGAATTTGCATAGGCTCGCCGTCACAAGATTACTACTTCATTCATTACACTTGCTCAATATCATAAACATAAGAATGATTTGAGGAAGATGGTCGCTTCACGAGAATGGAATGGTTCAAAGTGGTCAAAGCAAGCGATGGGAAAGAAAGTACAAAACCTCATTTTGCAAGACACCTTTTGGAGGAATGTCATGTATGCCCTTAAGTTGACGTGGCCTCTTGTTAAAGTTCTTAGAATTGTTGATTGAGAGAAAAAGCCACCTATCGGCTACATATATGAAGCCATGGATAGGGCTAAGGAGGCTATCCAAAAGAGTTTTGGATATAGAGATAATTAATTTAGGGATGCTTTTAAGAAGATTGATGAAAGGTGGAATTGCCAACTTCATCGACCTTTGCATGCGGCCGGATATTACCTTAATCCGACAATTTTCTATGATCAACCCAATGATGTTTGTTGTGAAGAAATTGAGACGGGGTTGTATGATTGTATTGGAAGGTTGGTTCCGGGTGTAGAAACTCAAGATAAGATTATGATGGAGTTAGATGCATTAAAATATGTCATCGGACTCTTTGGCCATTTCATGGAACTAGCCTCACTTGTAGTGCTACCGATTGTGAAAGAAATTGGGGAGTTTTTCAACATGTATGTACACTTTAAGTTTTACCTTTAATATTATAATGATTATAATTCATAGCAACTTTTGACTAATAAAGTAATAATTCATTTTTGTCACAACTCCATACAAAGAAAAGAAATTGTTTGGCACAAGCTCGATTAAATGACATGGTTTACGTCAAATATAATGGAGCTTTACAACGTCGATATGAGAGGCGAAACACCATTGTTCCCATTCTTTTGGAAGATATCGATGAAAGTAATGAATGGTTATTTGGGAAAATGGATGAAAATTTGGAAGAAGATGAACGTGTGTTTGAAGGTGATGACTTGACATGTAGTTTGGTCAGTAAATCCACGGGGGCCAATGGGGGGCCAATGAGCTAACCGATGTTACTAGAGGGGCTTCAAGGGTAAAAAAGGATGCTCCATCATTTTTTAGAGGGAAGGCACCAATGGTGATTGATAGTGGTGATGATGATGATGATGATGATGAGTGGGAGGAGGGCATTGTTGAAGATGTGGATTATGAAGACGTTGAAGACTTTGATGTTGATTTAGAGACTCTTTAGTGCTTTAGGAGACCATCCACTAAACTATGTTTGCTTTTCTTTCTTTCTCTTTTTATTTAATTATGCTGATTATGTCTTACTCTAAGTACTTGTCTAATACTTTTTCGCCTTAATGAGTTAGCGATAATTTTTGTCAAATTATGCTTCCCTTTATGCATTTATAATGGAAGTTATATGTTGCTTTAAGTATAATATTAGTTTAGATATCATTTTAGAGGTTTTAGGGTCTTAATAAGGTGTGCCTCACCTACGAAAGGTACGCACCCGAGCCTAGCCAAGGACCTTTTGCGCCTTGGTGTGCTTCGCGCCTTTTAAAACTAAGAACTTCACATAAGATTGGTGTAGTGGTTGCAAGTGAAAATTTTAGGTTTAGCTAATTAGTTTTCTTAAAGAAGCAAAACAATGGTTGAAAACAAATTATTTTATAAATCCCAAGAGCTAAAGATTGGAAATCACACGGACTTTTGGAGAAGATTTATTCTATAAGCCTTTTTTTTCCTTATTAGTAGCATTTCCTATGTGTTTGTTGGGACTTCTTGTTTAGTTTTTTTTCTTTCTTTCTTTATTTGACTAGTTTTTTCATTATGCTAATAAATTGAGGTGAAATTTAAATAAATTTGAATGGTGTTTAGCTTTTGTGAAAGAAATTGAGTAATTATTTGAAAGACCACTCCCATAGAGAGGTAGTCTAAAGTTTTAATCGCAAAATTGTTTAGCAAACTGATATTATCACCCTTTTTTGACCTTTTAAAAGCGGAATAGTATGTAGTGTCTGTCTAGTGCTTTAGACCCATTTGATTTGGGTGGGCGGTGATGGCGGTTACATTTATGGGTGATGGTGTCGGCGACTGAGAGATGGTTCTAGTGTCGGCTAGGTGGTGGTGTCAGCGGCTGGGGCTGGCTAGGCTATGATTTTGGAGGTTTTGTGGAAGGAGGGGTTGAGCACGTACACTGGAAAACAGGGTCAAAGTTCTAAAACCGGGTTAAGGTGTTACTTCGCAAAAAAAATAAAAAAAAACTGGTTTTAGGTGTACTTTCACAAGTAAATTTTATAAGGTGTTTTTTCACAGAAAAGGTGTTAAAAAGGTGGTTTTTGACAATTTGTTTTCTTTTTATTGTTAATGCCTCCTTTGTTTCTTGATTCTTACAGTTTTTTTCACGCTTCACTAACATAATTCATTTTTTAGTATGCAAGTAGTTTATACACAGTATTAAAGTAGGAATTTTTTGAATAATAGTATTGGTATGCTACTTTAAGTTTTACATGTATGTATAGTGAATAACCTAGAAACTTACAATTGGGATGGAAGACATATATTGGCTCAATTGCAGCATCTTGTGTTTAGTAAGTAGGCATTAATCTACTCTTTGCTTACTCCCCTCCCCCCCCCCCCCTCCCCCTCTCAGGTTTGGAGGGGTGGTTGTGTCGCCAAGACACTAATGGCTGAGCAAAGAGTGCCATGCTCTCTCCTTGTGTATAAAAGGTGCGGTACGACCTAATAGGGTCAAGTGCCTTTGGCTGAGGCAATGCGATTTCAAAGTGGCTTACTAAAGTGCATTAAGGCGAACAAATGTTATTTAAATAAATTATATTTAAGTTGCATCCCACTTCAATGAGGCATAACTAAAGTGTGAAAGGATCCCTATCACTTTAGTGTGCCTTAAGTTTTTTTTATTTTTAAGCGTTGCTCTCACAAAATTATTATTGGCACATGTTTTTTTTGTATGTTTTCTCAACACCAATAATAATTCTTCATTCGAAATGATTAATTGTTTTTAATATATCAGATTATTGTTTAGGAATTGGGGCAACAGACCTAGTTGTTTGTGCTGCTTTAATTTTTACCCTGTATGGTGATTCAATCAAGTCCTCCTCGTACAATGAGAACATGTGCTTCAACTCCCTATTACCCAGTTCAAACTACTTTCAATCTAAGAATTGCTTCTTTTCTTCTTCTGGATCTTGAGCTGTAAACCAGGAAAAAGGGTTCTTATGTTCAATAAAACAGTACAATGAAAGGCAAATATTGCAGTAAACTGAAAAATCTTTCTGCAAGTTCCTTATAGACAAAAAAACAGTACTTTGTCCCGCTCTTGCTCTTAAAGATGACTGTGACAAGTATCATCTGTGTTCTATTGCTCATCATATATTTCCTGGGCTTGTTTGGGGATAATTAGTAAAGTTGTATTTTCATTTAATATGGACCATTTGATTGTGTAAATTCCAGCTTTCTTTTCCAAATTATCTTGAAGTATTCTTTTGCTGGTCTCACTCTTATTTTAATTGTTTTTGTTAAATTTTTAGTTTTGTCAAATAATTTATTTTTTGAGGGACTGCATTATGCTTCTTCCATATTTCAAGCTCTTACTATGCTGTAAATAATATGATATCTTCAGTCAGACAAATTAAACAACTAAGTTGGAAGAACACTTGACGTGGGTGTATTGGTGTGATCCTCTTGAACAATGCATTAAGGAATTATGTTTAGCTGTTTGATGTGGTTGAGCAATTCCTTCTAATTTTATTCAACATCTAGTCATTATAAGCTTTCCATTGTAGTATTTTAAGAATATCCGTGTTCCCTGCGGATAAAGCATCAGTTAATCATCAAGGGATACCTGGAGTTTGGATGATAAACCTTGATTCTGGTGTTATGAAACTGATAAATTTGATGATTTTATCGTGAGAGGAATAGCAAGTTTTCATGTGTCTGAATTCTGAAATGAATATTTGCAGTTTTGATGGATGTTTGGCCATGTCTTGTCAACTTCTACCATAAGCTCCTAGAAATTGTAATTTTTCTTGTATTTCCCCATGCCATTTACCACACCTTCCATGTAGTTAACTACTACTATATAATGTTTGTTGCTCTGGCTTGAGTAATAGGGTAGAGCCAGCGGTAATGGAGCAGGGGCAGAAAAAGCAAGGTCTCATGAAATCCAACGAGAAGAGAAAAATCAAAGAATGGGACATCAATCTGCTATACAGTGTATAACCAAATTTCCGCCTTATTACTACTGCTTTAGAGATGAACCAGTTGAGCTTTGCTGCAATTTTGTTTTGGGTTCTTTTGTATTTTTTCTCTGGCTGAAATGTTGATGCTATCTCTTTTGCTGGGTTATTGAAAAGTATTCTTTGTCGTAGGTTGTAACCGATAAATATGCATGTCTCTTCTATTTTCGTCTCCATTAAATTGGGCATTTCTGATCCATTACTCTGGTATGGTTAAAGGCTCTTCTATTTTTTCTCATTTATTGGTGCTTTACTATTTGACTTTCATGACAGGTTGAATTATTATCAATTGAAAGGCCTTATACCTGAATCCAGAGGGACTACAAGGTCTATGCGTATTCCCTATGACAGCTACTGACCAGAGAACAAATAAAGGTAATATATTTGGATACTTTTTTAAAGTTTATTCTTGTGCATTTTCTGTAGTAATTCCCTCATTGACATGCCTATGTGCTAACTTGGCTGCCTGGCTAGATTACAATATTTATTTTATTAAACTTAAGCTGATGTTTTCTTTCATAGCTCATTTCAAATGCACCTGTGCTATACAGATTATAGTCTATCCCGCTTTTATTCACTTGCCATTCAAATGGTTTTAATTTCAAGCTTTGTGATCTTACTGGTTTGTGTGGAGATCTTTGATGCATGCAGCTACAGCTTCCTGGGAGGAGAAGAGGGGGAGGGGGGACCTGTTAAAATTGATGTAGTTTGCTTTTTAGGATGTCATTTGATTTTGCTTCGTTTGTCCTACATAACTTTCTTATAAAAAACTCTCTACTCAAAGTCTATACATTCCCAAAATCTTCCAAATTTAATTGAGCTTAGCTGGCTGCCCACTCGTTTTCATTTCTGTTACCCATTTCAGTCATAATGCTATTTCTCTGTTAGATATAAATGGAGTTTATATTAGATACTTTTGGGATTTTTTAATGGTTGGTGATACTAAAATTCCTAATGCTATACAAAAGTGAACCATAACATTGAATTTAATTTGCAAATTACAGAATATTTATACAAATGAGTTTAACTCACAGTTGTAAGAATTTAATTACAACTTAAAATTTTATTCAACTTTCATAGAGATGGATTTTGAAATTATTTTAGTGAAGAATAGTTTAGCATTAATTCCCCCCAAAAAATTACAAATTCAAAAAACTTGTGACTCAAACTCTCAATAAAGTAGAAAAAAAATCTATTTCCCAGAAGAATTGATTGAAATAATTAGTTATTGCACAAGACAGAATGGAAATTGCAGTGAAAATAATATTACTTCCATAAATCACTCAATTATATAATTTCTTACGTCTTGAGGGTGGAGAAGAGATTTTTTCTTCGACAAGCGATTTGGTGATGGTGTTATTAGAGGTAATTACCATTAATTGTTGATATTAACTAGGCCTAGAAAGAGAGGTGAAGGCAAAGTATTTTAGTGAGATAAAAAAGGAGAACAAAAAGGTCAAAAGAATTGTTGATGTTGATGTTGATGTGTTGCTCTCATCTTATGAAAATCCAAATCGTTTTCCTTAGTTTTAATTTTTGGTTAGTTTTGTAGCATTAGTTTCTGTTAGTTATTTTTACTCTTTGAGACCCATGTATGTAATGTTTCTTTTCCTTTTAACTGTTATTTGGAGTGTATTTTCGTCTAACCTTTTGTTCAAGGTACAAAGCAAGATGATTCCATTGGAGCCGATGCGGTAAAGGATGTCTATTTAATGATGGAATTGCAATTTGGTGTACATTTTGTGAGATTGTTCTAACTTAGACACTTTTAAATTTTGATTTGGTTGCATAGATTAAGATTAATTTAAAATGAAGGTGAATGGTTTGAGGATGAATGCAATTATCATTTGAGGACATTGGTTGATCATAGAATAAGATGTCTTTGATCGGAAGCTGGTAAATTTATATTCATCTCACTCAATTGAGTAGTTGACATCTTTGTGGAAGAGGGCTATCAATCCTAAGCAACTGCTTGAAAGGTGCATCCAGAGATGTGTATGAGTAAACTAATCAAGGTATTACAAACTTGCTTAAAGCCTTAAACTTATGAGAAGGTTAACGTTGTGATGAATATTCAATGATCTTAGTTTGTTGTTCTTTTACATTCTTGAAATTTAAGGTAGTCCTTTTAGGAAAGGACTAAAAGTAATTTGGATACTAGATCTAGAAAATCAGGTTAATTAAGCAAAGTTAAAGGTTAACTTAAAATGGACAAAGCAAACATTTTAAAAGGACCTTGGATTTCTTAAATTTGTGCCTTTTTAATCGTGACACTTAATCTTTGTCCCAATTTAATCGACACTTTCCTTTTATGTTCATCCCCATTTGATGGACATAATTCCCCTATGTGTGCCCACTATTATTTAGTTCTTTCCCTTTTTCTACCATCAAAAGTTAAGGTCGCATACCCTAATATCATTCTATAAAAAAAATAAAAAAAATTGGCAGATAAGCTCCTCCCTAAAAGCCTTAAGTATGGGAGGCGAGCATGTAAGCTATTCCCTCCTCACCATACCTAACTTATTAGTTGTCTTTACAAGCTCAAAGTTCATAAATTATGACCATGAATTACTTATCAAGTGAGATCTGGTAAGGTTTTTTTAGTATTTAATTTTTTACATTCAAGTTATTTTAGTCAATGCATAATTAGAATTATTAATGGTCAAATTTGTTTCCATATTTAAAAAATATTATGTGGGAAGCTAAATGTGGGATGAAGAGGTATCTTGTTTTTTGCTGTTGTGTGCTTAATTCGGTGATTGTACTCATTTCTCTTCCAGTGATGCATCATTTATTATTCTTTCTTTCATTGTTTTTACACATAGCATGAACTCATTTAGTTGTTGTACATTTCTTTTACATCATTGTGCCACTTGTGCAAATTGTTGTAATAAGAAGCATAGCATAAAAGGATATAAGCGTTGGAAAATTACTAGTGCTGCCTCTCGTTGAAATGAACTAATGGAAAGTGCTTTTAAATAGGCTACAAGTCTCACCAAAGTTCCTAAAGTAAAGCAACTAAGCAACTAAAGTGGAGTAGTGCTACTAGGGACGTGGCTTACTACATGCTGCCTCTCTTAGTGCCCTCACTTCCTTTGATTAAAATCAACTAATATCTCTGTTTCAAATTATTTGCATCGATTAGACATTTTCTACTACAACTTTATGTCAAATTGTTGCAATTAATTTGAAACGAAGGTAGTAATTTGACTATGAGCAATCCAACAAGCAAGAAATAAAGAAGACTTACTAATAAACACAACTAACTTACTACTACTAGCCTTTATTAGGAGATATTCTTGTAACTAAGTGAACTCGGCCATTGACGGACTCTTTTGAAGCATATTTTAATTCAAATTCCATAGGCACTTTTCGGGATTTAAACCTTTCATTGTATAATTTGCTTGGTTGTAAGTGTATTTCTTTACTAGGGTCTCTTTTTTGTTAGGTTTGTAAATGTGTGGTTATTTTTTTATTTAGGTTGAATGTTACATTCCCAAATTAAACGTGGTAAATGTTTTTCGGTATTAAAGGAAGAACGCCGCATTCCCCCCCCCCCCCCCCCCTTTTTTTTTTCTCTTTATTCTTGAATGTGAAGCTGATAGCCCTTTTTTGAAAAATGTAGGTAGCTGTAAAATTATATATAATGTAGTAAGAAAGTATAAATGATGTAAGAAAAAGACAAACAAAGTAAAAGAGGGTGTTTGGAAAGATGTAAATGTGTAAGATAGTAGAGGTAATGAGGTATGTTTAAAATTTAAAATTGAACAAATCAAAGTGATAAGAATAATATGAACGGAGGGAGTATATCCCTTAGTTCCTGCATGTTTGTCCCATTTGTCTTTTCCCGGTCTATATTTTAAAATGATGCGTACAAACCTCCAATTCTATACATGCAAAAATTATAAAAATTTCATATTTGAAATGAATCTAATATCCCACTTAGCGCCTGTTCTCATTGACTGAACTCAGCTGAACTGAACTGAATATTTTATGAGAGAAGGAAATTACGAGTTGACTGAACTGAAAATAAACGTATGAGAACAAACCCTTAATCATACTATTTCTTATAAATAAACATTCAATGGGTATTTAAGTTTCTAGCTTCAATATAATATGTATTAAGTTTCATGAAAAATATATTCTAATTCCATAGGAATCTTTCAAACCGAACATAACCATAATTGTATTGAGTTGCTAGCTCACTCTTTCATACCTTTCTCAACTCCTACTGGTGTTAACACTCAACATATGAGGCAGGTATGCAACCATCTCATATAACTATATTTTGTATACCTAAGGGAACAGTGGGAAGGGATACTTCTTTTACAAAAGTTTCTTCTTATTATCATATATTAGCTGCTTATGGTTTTAAGGAATGGTACTTAATGTGTCATCATGGAGTTTCTGCTGGCTGCTCCTGTGTGTAGATATAATCAAGGTGCGCCGCCAGAGACCTCCTGAACAAGTATCCAGCATCTCACTATTGATTTCGTCTCTGATTTTAGCTTTACTTGTGTCCTGTCATGCAACCAAAAATTAAAAAGTATCATGACTTCAGACAATTTAAGCTCATAAGCACAATTTTCAATTTTGTTGAGGGGTTATTGGTAGGAGAAAGATAGAAATTGCTATAATACCATGTTTACTCTGTTGTTTTTGCAGTACTTGATCAGTATGCACGAGTCGAGCGGCAGTAAAGCTTAGCAAGAAGGTGAGGTAAATGAAGGTGATACAAAAGCTGACCACTTTGGACATTGTATTGTTTGCACTTAGCTTGTATAGCTTAATGAAGTTATTGGAATATGATACTTGGGTGTGGTATATATAATCAAAGGTATAAGATTCAGTAGACAGGGTACTGTTTGGTGTGTCTAGGTCCCAGTAGGAAGACGTCGTAATAACATTATCAAACATTCAAAAATAGGTGCGTGAGAATTGTACGTATGTCTCTAGATTAAACCTGAAAAAATAAAATATATTGAAATAAGAATATATCATGAAAAGCCAATAGGTAAGATATGATTCTCGTGAAATGTGTGAACACCTTTTGTTCATATATACTTTATGAATTGACGAATTTGATCTTTATAAATTCTGGAATATTGAAAATTTTCTATTTAATTTTCTGCTGTTTTTTTGGATGATGTGAATTTTTTTTGCTTTGCTCGTGTCAATATCATTTGTGACCCACGGTTTGGTGGTTTTTCCGGTATCAAACAACCGACTTTTTTTTTTTTTTTTTTTTTGTTGTCCTAAAGGCTAAAAATTCTGTCATGTGAGTTGCTCGAAAATAGGATAATATTACTACAATTCTACAATGCCTACAAAATACCATTCTAAGTGGGTCATCTCTTATACGAAGTATGTTTTTAGTTGGAATTTTATGGAGGAGATTAAATAAGACAATGGCCTAAATGGAGTAATCAAGATTTGTTGCTCAATTTTCCATGCAGAAAAATGCTGCGTGTGGAGCAAAATTAGCATCTCTCTTTCATACATACATATGCATATATCTAAACTATCTCTGTATACTATCACGCTTGTCAACACATTTTTTTTAATGATTAATATCTCTGATTATCAACATTGTAAAATCATAAAAAGTGGATATTAATTAAATATATATTGAAATGATTTATACAAAATCCCACATGAATATGTTTTATCGTATCTATAAACTACATAAGCGAGTCAAAGCACATTGTGTGAATAGTGTAAAAATCAAATGATGTCAACTAAAAATTAAAAAGAATAATCCCACCTTTGCTCGACCTGCTCAAAACGAGTCGAAATTTGCATAATTTGGGAACATACTCACCTTTACCCCTTATTTTTCTTAAATGGTCCTTTTTATAGGCTATTGGATGAAAATGTTAATTTTTATTTTATTTTTAAAAAAAAATCTTGGGTTTTTCTAAGTTATACCCCCAAACTTCTTCGGTTTCTAAGCTGTGCCTACGTTTTTTCCAACGTCTAAGATATGCCCTTTGTTTCGGGGTTTTCTGATGTCCTGCGGGAGAGTTACAATTCCGAGACTGGAACCGGACGCATGTACCTGCAAAACAACGGAGACTCCTGGTGGTGGGAGCTCCGCCTCCAACGGTCAAGTTAGTACTTGATTAAGGAGTAATTAATGCGGAAATTAAAGTGAGTGGGTCTCTCTAGGTGAGAGTGTTTAATGTGAGTTTTTAGCGTAATCAGCCTGTAACTCTGGGTGTAATCAATGTGTTTTTTCTGTAATCCCCCTTAATGAGGATTAAGGGAGGTATTTATAACCTTGGGAAACGCGCCAATCCTAGGTTTAGGTTAACCTAGGGCTGATTGGGCTTCCCTCGGAAGTTGGGCCTGGGTGGCCGGTTTCTCCATTAGGCATGGAGTATGCCACATGTCATGACATAATAGGTCCAAGGTGGACGAATAAGCGCGTGCCACGTGGCAAGCCCTGACAGTTCCAACTGGGGGACACTTGGCAGGACCTGATTGGCCCACGTGGCGCATTTCGATTGGTAGGAGCAAAAATCCCCTAATCATTTGCCCCTCACAGGTGGCACGTGACTGGTCACGTGTTACCTGTGACAGGTGCCGCACTGTAACAGGCGACGGCCTGCTACATGTGTCAGTCGGCGAAAGGCCGAGAGATTTTCCCGCCCAAATTTTGAATTCTGAAAGTGACCCTTCGCCTTCTCACTTCGCCTATATAAGGGAGAGTTGTCTTGAGTCATTTTCACACTTGAGAACTTTGTGAGAGAACATTCGGACCCCTGAACTTGCTCTGACATTTTGGACCTTTTCTGCCTACCGCCTGTTCTGACAAGCCGACTGCAAAGGATTTTCAGAACTTCATCAACCGTCACTCGTTTAGGTAACTGTCGGTTCTCTTACTCTTAATTTTCTTTTTATTTTTTTGAAATGGCACCACAGAAGCACACGACACGACCTAGGTTAGTGATCAGCCGGTCACCGGGGACGGCTGAATCTAGGACTAGGAGTGCCGCCTGCCCTTTTCCGGACCCATCTTTGCCCTTTATACAAAGTCCGACTGTATCTGTGTCTATGCAGAGCAGGATGGCCAGAACCAAAAAGACTGCTAGGATCTCAAATTCAGACGGCTCCTCCCACAGGGTGCCGATTAGTGAAACATCTGACCAGGCGCCAGATGTGGAAGTGAAACAAGGCGGCCTGAAAGCCGGCAATTCTGAGGGAGGAGTCATAGTGACCCCTTCCCATTTAACAGTTAACAATTCTGCTCCTTTTCAAAGAGAGGAGGCGGGCCCCTCAGGGAGAGGGGAGGAGTCGTCCTCTTCGGACTCGTCAGAGGGCGATTCCGAGTCTAGCTCTTCTGGCCATGCCTCTCTGGACACAGAAGAGAAAAACAGCCGCCTGCAAGAGGCGAGGCTTTCTTACGCAGTTGAGAAGGGGGACAATTGGGCGGAGCCATCCGCCTCTTACCGAGAGCAAAATACCCCCTACTACTGCACGGTACCTCGGGGCCGGATCACAGTCATGCAAGAGAAAGTGGAGAGCTTTATCGCAAACCACACAATGGGCCCCGACTTTTTAGTGTTTGTGCCGGATCCAGAAGACACAGTCGTCTGGCCGGCTGGTACCAGTTATGATAGCGCCTGCTTTGGCTGCTACGAGGCCTGCCATCAAGGCTGGGCTGCGCTTCCCATTACATCCGGCTGTTCAGCGGATCTTGGATGGGTATGAGTTGGGGTTATGGCAGTTAGCCCCAAACTCTTGGGTCAACGTACTCGGCTATGTGGCCGGGTGCGAACTGCACGGGGTGGAGCCGAGCTTCGAGGCTTTCGCCCATATGAACTATCTCAGCCGGACCCCTAAGGCAGGCGGTACCGGCTGGTATCAATTGACAAGCCACAGGGGCTACCTCATGACGAGAGGTAAAGCAAACAAGTGGAAGGACTGGCGGAGCACCTTCCTCATCATTGAGAGTTCAGACACTGAGCTGAACAAGCGCTTCAATAGGTGGAACAGGAATCCGCCCCTTCTTGCAGGCGACCGTAGCATGCCGCCTGTTCCCCCCAAGGCTAAGAAAGAGATCCTTGATAAAGGACTCTTTAAAGTAGAGTCGAGGGTCGACTCTACTTCAGGGGTACGAGAGCAAGTACCCCTGCACTGCGTCCCGAGCTTCAAATGGCTCTACGACGAGTACTTTTTGGCCGCCTGTGGCCTCAGCAGTCGGTGCTCAAGAGGTAGTCGGCCTGTCGAATACTCTGTTGTTCCATACATTTCTTGTTATGACTTTTATTAACTTTGCTGTTTGTTTTTGCAGCTGACGCCATGAGCAAAATTACCGCCTCCAAGACTGCGGCGGCCATGTTGCGGGCCTCCATCATGCAACAAGCTTCAACCGACTCCCCCAAGAAGGGGGCACCCTTGGTGAGCTCCGAACCTTTCACCCTCTTTTTGGAGTTGTGTTTATGCATATACTGAATTTTTTCTTCTCTTTTAGACGGGTGCTCCAAGAGCTTCATCTTTCCAACAGCCGGACCCCAAGGCCCGGAGGACGACTGTTGCGAGCTCTCCTGGTTCTGCCAGGAAACATGTGGCGGCTGAGAAACAGCCGGCCACTTCTTCTAAAACTCCAACTGGGCCGCCTAGAAGTATGAAGTTGTCCTTGTAAATTTTAGACTTGCTCCCTTTTTTACTAGGTCTGATCCGTTTGTTTATGCTTGATGCAGCCGGCCCTCAGGAGCCTGACTTGGTAGAGGTGGCCAAGTCTATGATCAGGGTCGTTCCTCCAGCTGAAAGGGAGGCGGTCAGGGGTGTCGGCACCCTTGACCTAGACGAGATTGCAGGGGTCCTTGCTGAGGTATACTTAGCATATTTTTGAGTATTTGATTTCCAGGATGCCTGTTTTCTTTTTGTTTGGAAACTGACGCCTGTTCCTTTGTACTTAGGCCCTGCTCCGAGTGAACGGCCTTCGCAAGCCGCTTGACCGGAAGAACAAAGAGGTAAAGGCTGCAAAAGCTATGGCCGCCTCTGACTGTGATAAGGCAATGTTTCAAATTGCCCAAAATGAAGTTCTGACCATTGATATTCTTTATTATCAGGCGCAGGCTACCGCCGCTGTTCGGGCTCAGTTAGAGGCGGCCCAGAAGAGGAATGGCGAGCTGGAGGCGACCATCACCAATCTCAAGGCCGAGCTGAAACCTCTTCGCCTAAAGATATACTCATACGAAGCCTTGGAGAAATCCTTGGCCAACGTAAAGGAACGCCTGGTGACCCAGGAGAAGAGTCTTACTCAGGAGCTCTCGGAAAAGGCCGAGCAAGAGAAGAAAGAGCTGGTCCGGGAGATGATGGAAGACTCCGCTCAAATCCAGCGCATGACTTGGGGCCGCCTCTTCCCCAATGCCGACTTTGCCTCATGGGAAAAAACGTACCGCCAGTGTTCTGATACATATAATCAAGAGATCTTGGCGGCTGCTGAGGAAGAGGCGTTGGAGGAAGCGTTGGAGGAGGAGGAGCCGGTAGTGGCGCTTGTGCCGCTAGGGGGTAATGCATCAAAAAAGGATGCAGCTGAAGCCGAGTCCAGCAAGAAGAGTGCTGACCAGGCGGCAGCTGCTAATATTGAAGATCTGCCCCCTTCTTAAGCTTTATGTATTCTTTCCACGGCCTGCGTGCCGTTTGTTTTGTATTTACCCGGCCAGGGGGCCGGGGCTTTGAATATTTTGCCGGTCTTTAATGACCGGCTTCTTTTTAATGAATTTTTGTTTTGCTTCAAATTTGTCTAAGTATTGAATATTCTAAT